TCCTACATTTTTCCGGAGATATGGATTCCAGGTAAGTAATAATAAGTCTACGCAGGGCGGTCAAAGCTAATATGGATTGCTGGAATTGGCTGCAGAGAGAGTATCTAACACATACTTAGCTATCTAATCAGAGTCAATGTGAGGTACCTAGTTAGGAGAGCTACACACACGACACACAATTACTTTAAGTGCAAAGGATAATCAGTAAAAGGTATCTAGTTAGGCGAGCTACCCACACAACATACAAGAACTTGAAGTGTAAATGAAAGTCAGTGTGAAGTATTATGCGAGCTATCCACACGACTTACAATTACTTTAAGTGTCAATGAGAGTCTGAGTGAGTGAGTTAAACGAGCAACCCACACAACATTAAATTACTTTAAGGGTAAATAAGTGTGAGATATCTAGTTAGGCGAGCAACCCAAATAACATTAAATTTCTTTAAGGGTAAATAAGTGTGAGGCATCTAGTTAGGCGAGCAACCCACACAACATTAAATTACTTAAAGGGTAAATAAGTGTGAGATATCTAGTTAGGTGAACAACATACACAACATTAAATTACTTTAAGGGTAAATAAGTGTGAGATATCTAGTTAGGCGAGCAACCCACACAACATTAAATTACTTAAGAGTAAATGAGTGTGAGATATCTAGTTAGGCGAGCAACCCACACAACATTAAATTACTTTAAGGGTAAATAAGTGTGAGATATCTAGTTAGGTGAACAACCCACACAACATTAAATTACTTTAAGGGTAAATAAGTGTGAGATATTTAGTTAGGGGAGCAATCCACACAACATTAAATTACTTTAAGGGTAAATAAGTGCGAGATATCTAGTTAGGCGAGCAATCCACACAACATTAAATTACTTTGAGGGTAAATAAGTGCGAGATATCTAGTTAGGCGAGCAACCCACACAACATTAAATTACTTTGAGGGTAAATGAGAGTCAGTGCGAGATATCTAGTTAGGCGAGCAATCCACACAACAATAAATTACTTTAAGGGTAAATGAGAGTCAGTGTGAGATATCTAGTTAGGTGAGCTACCCACACGACATAAAATTTATTGAAGTGTAATAGAATCAGCGTGAAATAAATCTATCTTGGTAAGGTATTTTTCATCTTCTTCTTCAGCATTCCGAGCTACAGTTGAGGTCTATTGATGACAATATCGCATACCTCTCTGTGACTGGCCCTCTCTTTCCAGCTGGTGAATCCAAGGTCTGCCTGTCTATGATCTCTTTACAGTCTTCCTGATCTGCCTCTTGGGCTACTTCAACTCTAGTGTGCGCATTTATTGCTCGCTGTTATCTGCCCTTTTCTCTTTATGCCCCATACCATTGCAGTGGATGGTGCTAGTAATTAGTAGCCACGTCAAACGGATGAGGCATTTCCTTGTTGTTTCTCACACTTCAGTCTCCACCGTCCATATTTTGGTGTGTCCAAAGATTCGTCGTAAGACTGTTTTCAAACTTGTGTAATAAAGCTTCGACTAGTTTAGTTGTACTGCTCTATGTAAGAAGTCAACGTACATACAACATGTCACCACACACATATAACAAAGATACCAAGAAAACTTAAACAGTGTGTTTTAGAAATACGATATAGCTAGCTATAAAAGCAATGGCTTTCAAATTAGGAGAAAACAGCTTTCTTAAACAGGTCACTTTAACTGTAAAAGGGAACTGTGAACAAAGAGGCTGTCAAATTAGGAGAAAACAGCTTTCTTAAACAGGTCACTGTAACTGTAAAAGGGAACTGTGAACAAAGAGGCTGTCAAATTAAAACGAAACAGATCCGTAACGGGACATTTTAACATTAAAAAAAAAAAAAAAAACGTCGAAGAGATGTAAATCTTAAAAATAAAACTAAACTTCTTAATGAGATTACGGGTTTCAATGAAACGAAACACCGACATGTGATAATAAATTTGAAACTGTATAAAGAAGAAGAAAAAGATTTCAAAGTTTCAAACAAAGTAACAAATTCGTTACACGCGGGTTTATTCATTATTCGGCCTCTCTAGTTTCTACGGCTGCTAGCCCGCTGCAGATAGTATCACACAAAGCACAAACCTCATAGCTCCAACTACGAAAATCATGAAATCTTAGTCGGGGAGGAGGGAAGGGGGCGGTGCACTGGAACCAGATGAAAATGAAACAACGACACTGAGAGAACGAGGCCAACAATTTCAACAATCTGCCATGGAATAATTAATTATAAAGACAAATAAATGAAAAATGCGAAAACATCGGTCGCTGAGGAAAGTTTTCAGGTTGTCTAAAAAAAATTTAAAAAAAATTAATAACTGTACTGCATATATCAGCACTCAGAGAATGAAAGAAACAGTGATCATCGGATTACAAAACACACATTTCTTCATCTTCTTTGCATTCACGGGTTATCTACCCATACATAGTCCTGGTTGTTCGTCCACTTCTGGACTATAGTCTCATTCCAGGGCTTGAGTTTTGCATGCATATCTGTTATACAGACAGTATTGGTGTGCAGAGTGTAGGTTTCTTGTATTTGAGGCAGATAGATGCATTCCGACTTTGAAGGTAATGTCGATTCGGTTAAGCATGAGCCAATCCCCCTGTCGAAACACGTGTCTAGGACAGTGTTTCATAAGCTCGTTGGACCCACCACCACCTGTGTTAGTGAAAATATGCCCAGCGCCCCCTCTACCCGGAGATATCCTCATCACCATCGTGTGCCATGCCGAAAGGCATAGGCGGTCATTATTCGCTATCCTTCAGGACCAGCAGAATGATGGATAAGGTGGTGCTCTTGTTCTGACCCATACATGTGGACACACCATCGAGATGTATATGTCGTTTTCCCTTGTCCTCTTTCTATCAATTTTGCTAGTTTCAAAGCTCTGCGTCAGATGGGGCCACATACAGTTTCCTGTACCTTTCCTTAGTTCTGCCTTATCACTTCTAGCGATCCATCGTAGGTTTGAATTCACTGCTGGACTAGTTCTGTTGTTGTGGACAGCAATCCGTTTTTTAAATTAAAATTTTCATAGTGGATGCTGTCCTGCTTAGAACGTCAGATGGTTTGCAGGGCTGATTTTACGTTTGTGAATATGATTCCTGTGAATTCCAGAACTGTAATGGATAATGGATAAGAATGGACAGTCAATCCCTTGTTTTGTCGTGAGAGCTTCACACATCATTATGTCAATTTGTATATTTTCATGCTGTGTCAATGTTTTTCTTGCGAAATTATTTATACTTTATTTCCCTTCATAGTGTCTTTGTAACTTTGGTTCGTCATATAGTTTGGAAATCTATAGCTTTTCAAACTTAGTAAGGGATTTATTCTGCCTACGGAGGTGCTCCTAACTGTGTGTGTAAATCTGTCCATATTTTGAATTTCCTATAGGTTTCGCAAATTCGTTTTCGAACTCTCCCATCGCTCTATGGGGGGGGGGGGGGGGGAAGGGGGAAGTAGCAGAAGTAGAAAAAGAAGAAAATGAAGCAGAAGAAGAAGAAGAAGAAGAAGAAGAAGTAGAAGAAGAAGAAGAAGAAGAAGAAGAAGAAGAAGAAGAAGAAGAAGAAGAAGAAGAAGAAGAAGAAGAAGAAGAAGAAGAAGAAGAAGTTGAAGAAAAAGAAGAAGAGGAAAAAGAAGAAGAAAAAGAGGGAAGAATGAAGAAGAAGAACAAGAAAAAGAAGAAGAAGAAGAAGAACAAGAACAAGAACAAGAGGAAGAAGAAGAACAAGAACAAAAAGAAGAACAAAAAGAAGAAGAAGAACAAGAAGAACAAGAACAAGAACAAGAAGAAAAAGAAGAACAAGACGACGAAGAAATAGATAATAATGATGTTGATGATGATAAAATGCACATAGTTATAAAATTAACGGGCACTGCTTAAAACTTCCTTGTATTGTTTCTTCTGGGCTTTTTAAGTTTACTTTTTTTTTAATATTGATTGTCCCGGTCACTAACTTGTTGCATAATCGTGTTCCTAAATAAGTAAAAATGTCTAAAATAACTCGCCGAGTTAAAGACTGGTTCTATATTTAGAATTCAATACACCTTTCGGGAACCGTGATCCTGCTACCTTTTAATTAAGCTCATCTGTACGTCGGTCAGTGGCATATTTAAGGTGAAAATTCTTTTAGGTCAGAAAACAGCACAAATTTCAAAATACCTTAACCATTTTATCAGCTGACTGACTAGTCAATGCCTGAGGTCAATGAACTCCGGGAAACAACAGTTCTCTCACTAGTGCTGAAAGATTTCTTTATCTGCTCGTTTTAACCAGGAAGAAATTTTTGGAAGCTCACATGCACACTTTTCATGGCGAGTAATGGAAACCACTGCAAGCAACGACAAGCAATTATCAATGGCACTGTAGAATCCTAGAATCTATCCGTTGCGAACTCGGTCTACCGTAGACTCCAGGTTGTCAAAATAACCCGAAGATGTTAGAGCTTGGAATGTTAATTCATGCAGACGGAGGAATTATTGATTGTGGTGCTAAATTTTTCATTTTTTTTGTAGCTAGTCACCGGGTGTTTATCGCTTGTGTGATGTCCTGGTGGGGTACAACTATCTACCTCCCCACACACACTGACTATCATCATCATACTTCTGGCGTGTCGTTTAGTGTCATCTAAGGTCGCAGTCTAGTCTTCCACACCGTCATATCCTGTACAATCCTTTTGATTTTATGGATGAAATCCATTACTGCATCTTTGACGTCTCTCAACAGCTATCTCAGTTCATTATTTCCCATTTTAGTACCTGTTTGATGGCTCTGTCTCCGTTTCTTCTTATGATATACCCGTCATATTATCTCCTTGTTTGCCTTATAACAGATTATTATATATATATATATATATATATATATATATATATATATATATATATATATATATATATATATATATATATATATATATATATATATATATATTTAATAAAAGAAACACCAAAATGTCTTTGCGGTCTAAGAACTTTTCCTGACAGTGTATCGACGTTCTTTTAACAGTGTACAGACGTTCGTCTAACAGCGTAGAGACGTTCTCCTGACAAGTGTCTAGACGTTCTCCTGACAGTGCATCGACGTTCTCCTGACAGGGTATGGACGTTCTCCTGACAGTGTATAGACGTTCTCCTGACAGTGTATAGACGTTCTCCTGACAGTGTATAGACGTTCTCCTGACAGTGTACAGACGTTCTCCTGACAGTGTATAGACGTTCTCCTGACAGTGTATAGACGTTCTCCTGACAGTGTATAGACGTTCTCCTGACAGTGTATAGACGTTCTCCTGACAGTGTACAGACGTTCTCCTGACAGTGTATAGACGTTCTCCTGACAGCGTATAGACGTTCTCCTGACAGTGTATAGACGTTCGTGTAACAGCGTACAGACGTTCTCCTGACAGTGTATAGACGTTCTCCTGACAGTGTATAGACATACTCCTGACAGTGTATAGACATACTCCTGACAGTGTATAGACATTCTCCTGACAGTGTATAGACATTCTCCTGACAATGTATAGACATTCTCCTGACACTGTATAGACATACTCCTGACAATGTATAGACATTCTCCTGACAGTGTATAGACATTCTCCTGACAATGTATAGACGTTCTCCTGACACTGTATAGACATTCTCCTGACAGTGTATAGACATTCTCCTGACAGTGTATAGACATTCTCCTGACAGTGTATAGACATTCTCCTGACAGTGTATAGACATTCTCCTGACAATGTATAGACATTCTCCTGACAGTGTATAGACATTCTCCTGACAATGTATAGACGTTCTCCTGACACTGTATAGACATTCTCCTGACAGTGTATAGACATTCTCCTGACAGTGTATAGACATTCTCCTGACAGTGTATAGACATTCTCCTGACAGTGTATAGACATTCTCCTGACAGTGTATAGACATTCTCCTGACAGTGTATAGACATTCTCCTGACAGTGTATAGACATTCTCCTGACAGTGTATAGACATTCTCCTGACAATGTATAGACATACTCCTGACAGTGTATAGACCTTCTCCTGACAGTGCATAGACATTCTCCTGACAGTATACATAAGTTCTCCTGACAGCTTTTAGACGTTTTTTAAAGTGTTCGTTTACACATTTAATGTAATTTTAAATAAATAATTATTTTCACTGTAAAACTCGTGAACGAGAATTCCAAGAGATCAAAAGATCAAGAGTGCGTATTAATAATTAATGTTATTACTAATAATATATACCAAAGATAATCCATTCATGTTATAAAGACTGGGAAATATAAACCTCAGTCCATTCAGGTCATGAAAAGTGGGAAATATAAAACACCTATAGTCCAGTCGAGTCACAAAAACTAAAAAATATAAACATTAGATAATCCATTCAGGTCACAAAGAATGGTAAGTGTGAAACTAAGTTAGTCCATTCAGGCTATAAAGACAGAAATATAAACCTCATATAGTCCATTCAGGTCACACAGAATGGTAGGTATAAACCTAATTAATCTATTCAGGTCACAAAGACTGGGAAATATAAACCTCAGATATTCCATTCGGGTCACATAATGTGAGAAACATGAACCTCAGATGGTCGTCTTCCCTGGCAAAGACTAGGCAATAACTGCCCCCAAAACAGCGTCTCCTAACAACAGCTTTGAATCAGACCCACATATCGGGAAATCTTCAGCGTTACACATATAATAAAACAATATAACAAACCTTTTTATCGTCAGAAAACCCCAGTCGTCTTAAGTTGGTCAGAGTTTGCATGAATTGACCACACACAACGGAGACATTACAGTGATTTCTGACACCCGGAAGGACTTTTTTGCATGTAATGCTAGCGGCCAAAGAGGCCGTTGTTATCTGCATAATATACCTGGAGACTGGGAATGCCGACGAATTGTTCCAGAAACGTCCAGATCTGATGAAATAACGCAGACAATCTGAATAAACAATTACCAAATCCCTGGAGAAGTATCCTATATCCTTCTTTAATGTTACAACACAATAAACTAGGATATGGTTGGCACTTGGGTAAAGGTTCAGGGATTACTCAGTATGTTACCACACAGCAAAAGTATGTCGCCAGGGGTTTCACATAAAATCTACGACTGTGTGGGTGGACCTAATATGGGATTTAAGCACACGGAGATAAGGCCTCGATTGTCCAGTGGTCTAGTATGGTAAAACGCAGTACTGTAGTATCGTGTAACTATGTTATTGTACGTTATGCTATCACAATCGATGTTAATGCAGACTTGGCATGTACATGCATGTTCATTCATCCACCCAAGGTATCTCTACTGATGGACTCATGATAAGTTGGTCATACTGTCTCGATAGGCGTGCTTCCACGGGCTTTACTCAAAGGTTACGCAATCGTGTTAGTGTCACATATTATTCATTATTTACCGACTTAGTCGGCACAGCGTTGGTAATATCGGTCTCTTTCTAGTTAGATATGTAAAAACAGAAGATAAAATGGTTTTGGTTATCTAGTAAGAATACGTCGTAAATAATTACCATCGCAGGCGCTACAAATGAAAAGATCTGAAAAAAAAAATAAAGAGGTCGCCCTAGCAGAAATGAATTGATAACACTAAAGGAGCTTCTACACCGACACAGAATGACAATAGCCCCTGCTGCCTATCAAGCAATGAATCGGAGAAAACAGTCTCGAGAAAATCAAAACAGCTAGCAAACGAAATAACTGCCACAGAAGTACTAACATCCTGTCACTAAAACTGATATTCATAGTTAATGGAAGTAGCAGTCACGACATACCTTCATGAGCACAGGTAATATTACTTAAGGCACATCACCAATTATGTAGCAATCAGTCACTCCATTTTCTAAATATGCAGTGTATATACACATCTCATGGACCACAAGCGACAAACTCCCCCCACCCCATAAACTTCAAGCTCACAGTGTCGCACCGAACACTCAACTCAGTACAGAACAAGACAACATGACTTTGCCTTTATCTTGTTTGCTGCCCCATGCAGTTTCCTTCTGGTGGTTGAAACCATAATATTCTGCAGGATTACTAGTTGGAATAGGGTCCACCAAGAAAATGAGAGGTAGGCTTTAGGAAGAGAGGCTAAGAGACATTGTAAGTCTTGTATTGAGCATCACTGCTCCATTAGGACCCTTCAGTGTGTTATCGAGAAACTAAGTAGCTCGCGTGATGTCAAGGACGAATGTGGAAATCATAAACACAAACACTGCAAACTAAGTTTCCTATAGAAAAAGGCGAATAAAGTAGATTGGTATGTGAATGGCTACTTCATTTAACAGAAAGCTCACACTGCAAGATCGAACTGGTCATGAAGACGTATTAAATTGTTTATTTCAGTTGTCTGAAACCGCACCCCTGAGAGACGAGGAGGGGAGGAGGAGGAGGCGAAAACAAAGAACGTGAAGAAGACGAAGACGAAAAATATGCCGAATAAAAAAAAAAAAGAAGAAGAAGAAGAAGAAGAGAAGAAGAAGAAGAAGAAGAAGAAGAAGAAGAAGAAGAAGAATAAGAAGAAGGAAGAAAAAGAAGAAGAAGAAGAAGAAGAAGAAGAAAAAAAGAATGAAGAAGAAGAAGAAGAGAAGAAGAAGAAGAAGACGAAGAAGAAGAAGAAGAAGAAGAAGAAGAAAGAAGAAAAAAAAAGAAGAAGAAGAAGAAGAAGAAGAAAGAAGTAAGAAGAAGAAGAAAGAAGAAGAAGAAGAAGAAGAAGAAGAAGAAACAAGAAAGAAGAAGAAGAAGAAAGAAGAAGAAGAAGAAGAAGAAGAAGAAGAAGAAGAAGAAGAAAGAAGAAGAAGAAGAGAAAGAAGAAGAAGAAAAGAAGAAGAAAATAAAAGAAAAAGAGAAGACAGAAGAAGAAAGAAGAAGAAGAAGAAGAAGAAGAGAAGAGAAGAAGAAGAAGAAGAAGAAGAAAAAGAAGAAGAAGAGAAGAAGAAGTAGAAGAAGAAGAAGAAGAAGAAGAAGAAGAAGAAGAAGAAGACGAAGAAGAAGAGAGAAGAAAGAAGAAGAAGAAGAAGAAGAAGAAGAGAAAGAAGAAGAAGAAGAAGAAGAAGAAGTCAGAAGAAGAAGAAGAAGAAGAAGAAGAAGAAGAAGAAGAAGAAGAAGAAGAAGAAGAAGAAGAAGAAGAAGAAGAAGACAAAAAAGTAGAGTGAGGAGGAGGAAGAGAAGAAAGAGAAAAAGAAGGAAGGGGTGGGAAGACAGTTTGTAGTCTTCATTGATAACTGACTCTTTAAGTCGTCGCTGTGTGGCGCTAGCAGTATTGTCTGTCCAACGCTTTGTGTCTACTGCACTGTCAGTCATCTCTTCTTCATCTTCTTACCCTTTACCGGCTGGAAAATCCAATGGAATGTTCTGGTTTGTTTGTCCATCTCTGGACTTTAGTTTTGTTCCAGAACCTAAGTATTGCATGTACATCCATTTTACAGATCTGACTTTTTGTATGCAGACTGTTGGTTCCTTGCCTCTAAGGCAGACGCACTCTGACTTTCAAGGAAGCACTCAGTTAGTCGACCCTTACAACATACTAGTTGCAGAGGCAGTGGGTCTATTCTCGTTTCCCCTACAAAAGGGGCTCCGGAACCCACACGTCAGTCACCTGAGATTCAGATGTCGTTTTGTTTCAATGTGCGATACCTTCTTACTCTTTCAACTTGGTATCCCCAGTCTAGCTTTCCCTCAGATTTCTTGCTATCTTTATCTTCTTGTTCTTCGATCCTTTAGTCGGAAAATGTATACCAGGAAGCCGATAGCCGCCACGAAAGCAATGGTGCAGCCCAAATCTCCCGGTACACCATACATCTTTGTTTTCATTGATGTTGAAACAGGCCAGATTGCTTCTCTATTAGCCGCATACAGTTTACATTTTAGGTTTAGGTTTTAACAACGGATTAACATCATGGCACAAGCGTAGTAACCCATAAGTGCGCCGCTCTTTCTAACTCAAGTCTGAGTCCCAAGAAGTTCAGCGTTCCGCACGAACTCCGTAGCACCGGCGAGGTTCCTGAAATACTTTGGGCAGATTTTTAACTCCAAATTTTGCCCGGCCAGCGATATTAGGCTACTCTTTTCCATTTTCGATTGCCGAGAGATTTTTACGTGCGCAACAATACACATGGGCGTTCGACGTCACTATCCATAGACCAGGAGCAATTACTAGAAGTCCACGTGAAAAAAAAAAAAATTACACCGGGGCTATCGGGCCTAAATGTTGGACCTCCATCCCCAGTGTTGGAGCACAGGCTCAGAACTGTCTGGTGTCAAGACAGACGCAGACACAATTGTAACGTTAAGTTAGACTGGTCTCGCAGTTTATTCTATCCGAAGTCATGTGAAGTAGCTAGACTGATATGTAACAGAAGTCGCATCTAATTTCACCCACAATGTGCCCGAAGTATGAGACTTTCCTCCTTCTGATGTTGGTTACTAATTTCACCTGTTACTTAATTTATTCAAGACAACTTTAATCTACGTAGAAATTAGTTTCCGCTCTTCTCTCATCCCTTTATTAAAAAATTCCACCTTTGCAGCTTCCATATTGATCACACATGCGCATTAATACTAGGTGACAAAGATGCTACCTTTGTTTTTAGCATTACTAGGATGTGGACATTAATTCAAATTGGCTAGTCCCTCAGTATCAGCAATATACCAAAGCTGATCGATAGCTCAGTTCTCTAATGATGTCTTGGGGGAAACAGCTGATGAATAATTCAAATGTGTAAGCTTTGGATGGTGCCAGTTTTGGCGCTGTTTGTTGCCCACCAAAAGTGAGTTCTAATTGGCATTTGCTTGCAGTCTGTGTGTGTGCGTATGCTTGTGTATGTGTGAATATGTCTATGTGTGCACGCGCGTGTGTGTGTGTGTTTGTTTTATTAATGCTTTTCATCTGTAATTTGTTTGTTAATTTTCTGTAAAGATGATTTGCCGGCCTCCAAATTTTAACTTTATGTCAAATTTTAAAATAGTTTTGTTGTTTCTCCAAAATGCAGAATCATTTCTTTAGTTAATGTATTATTAGAACAAAGAAAACACAAACCATAAGTTGCTCAATTTATTACCT